AAAATTTCTTTTTGATTAAGATGTATTGCTGGAGAATCGTGTTCCTTTGGAGATGTCATATATCCTTGCTTTTTTGTGTTTCTTGTGTTCTTATGTTGATATCTGCACATCTGGTATAACAGTTTTTTCTTCCCATTTTTGAATTTACTTCCATAGAGGAGGATGCTTTTCTGAAGATATTTCTATGGTGTTCATTGGCTACAGCATTTTGGCTTTTATTCTAGGTACTTTAGCTGTAGTGTTAGTGGTATCTGTGATTTCATCAGTGGGTTAGGGTGCAGTTATTGGAGTCTTTGGTGAAGTTGTGCTGTGGAATGCCAGGTGGGCCAGTCTACAGGCCCCAGATGTGGCAGTGGTGGTCTGAGTATGCCTATCCTTGTGTCCCAGAGTTGTGTATGCTGGCACTGGTGTTGGTGGTTACCAGATTGCTGATTCTTGGGCCTCCACATGGCTTGCTTGGATACTGGCAGTGGTAGTGGTGGACTGAGCAGGCAGGTGGGTTCCTGGGTCCCTGGACAGCTAGCATGGCACAAGTGATGGCAGTAACAGTGGCAGGATAATTATCTGGGTTCTGAGGGTTGTCCCTTTATGTTGGCAGTGGCTGTGATGGGCTGTGTAGGACAGTCTCCAGGACTGCAGGTGGTACTTTCAAGTAGGTGCTAACTGAGGTGATGGCAGCCAAGAGTTTAGGCCCAACCTCAGGACCCCAGAAGGAGTGCTCAGGTGCCCAACGTGCCCCTGTCACCCTCCAAGGCCCTGAGCGATGTGCTCTGTCTTAGAGAAAGGGGTGAAGCTGGTTTGGGTGGGCCTATGCTTAGGCCCTTCAATGGTGGGAGCAGGTACCAGTCATGGTGGGTAGGGGTCAGGGCAATCCTCAGGTCTCAGGTGGAATGCATGGGTGAAGAGTGGTAGCAGCTATGCTGAGACCCTCCCACTGGAGAGGGTGGGGCTGACCTCTGCCACCACAGCCTGGGCCAGTAGGTAGGGAATATGCACCTGTCTCATTTTTCAGCCCTGGTGGGGCTCACCCACAGCCCTGGCAGCAGCTGGCCACACCTAGCTTGAGCCCTCACCTTGCTGCAGGAGCCCCCACCGAGCTTGTGACCAAGTCCCAGTGGCAATTTGTGTCTTGTGTTCATCCCAGTCTCAGTCCCGGCAGCACTCACTTCCTAGCATTGGCAGCTGCGGCCCATGCCTCATTTGATTCTCAGTCTCAGCTGTGGGAGCTCATTCCCAGTTTGTGCCCTAGTCTCAGCAGCAAAAGCTTGAGTTTCCCTAATGCCTCAGTCTTGGTGCTCCTGGCCACCATGATAGCATGTGCATCTGGCAAAGGCTAGGATTTAAAATGGTACCTTGCTGTAACTGATTAGGTCTCAGAAAAAGTATGGGACCCAGCATGAGTTTCCTTCCTGAGACAGTTTTGCCCCCCAATCTCCTGGCAGCTCCCTATATATGTTTTCAGGGCTTAAGAGGGTTGAGGAGCTCTTCCATGGCCAGGACTGCATGATTCCATGGTGGGAATGAAGGCTACTGGAAGTCTCTCACTTACTCTTTTCCCACATTGGGAAGTCACGCTTGGCTACCAGCTGATCCTAGCCAAGCAGGCTGCCTCTCCTCCTCCTTCCTTGCTTTTGGTGTTTCCTGTAACTTTTCTGTTGAGTTCTAGTGTTCTCTTTTGGATAATGTATTCAAGATTTGGGTTCTTCTAAGTGAAGGAGGTAAGCATGAAATGCTTCTGGTCAGTCATCTTGAAGCTCCTCCACCTCCTCTTATGTATTCTATTTCCTTTGACTTTTCTTATAAAATTTAGGAAAAACTTATCTATATTAACAAAAATCTTGCTGGATGATTGATATAAATTGCATTAAATCCATATATCAATTTGGGGGAAAATTGGCATCTTAACTACATTGAATCTTCTAATGCAAGAACACAGTATGTCTCTCCATTTAGTTAGATCTTTGTTTTCGTTTACCATTGTGGAACTTTCCCTATACAAACCCTGAATATATTTTGTTAGGTATAGACCTATTTTTCTGATTATAATTTTAATTTCTGTGTATGTGTTTGTTGCTTGTATATAGAAATATAATTTTTTTTTTTTGAGATGGAGTTTTGCTCTGTCGCACAGGCTGGAGTGCAGTCATGCCATCTTGGCTCACTGCAAACTCCACCTCCTGGTTTCAAGCAATTCTCCTACCTCAGCCTCCTGAATAGCTGGGATTACAGGCACACACCACCTTGCCCAGCCAGTTTTTGTATTTTTAGTAGAGATGGGTTTTTATCATGTTGGCCAGGCTGGTCTCAAACTCCTGAGCTCAGGCAGTCTGCCCTCCTTGGCCTCCCAGAGTGCTGAAATTACAGGTGTGAGCCAGCATGCCCAGCCTAGTTTTAGAGTTTTTAAGATTCTGTGGGATTTTTCTACATATCATATCATATCATATATCATTTGCATACAGGGGGAGTTTTACTACTTCCTTTATAATCTATATTTCTTTTACTTCTTTTGTTTACCTTATTGCAATGGCTAGATCTTTCAGTGGTATGTTGAATAAGAGTGTTAAGAGTGGACATTCTTGTCTGTTCCTGATCTTGGAGAGGAAGCATTCAGTCCTTCACCATTAAGTAAGATGTTAGCTGTAGGTTTTTTTGGAGATGGTCTTTATCAAGTTGTGGTAACTCCCTGCTGCTCTTAACTTGAAGATAATTTTTGGTTTTGTCTTGTGTTTCCTTTTTTTCTTTCTTTTTTTGAGATGGAGTCTTGCTCTGTCACCCAGGCTGTAGTGCAATGGCACCATCTCGGCTCACTGCAACCTCCATCTCCTGGGTTCAAGCGATTCTTCTGCCTCAGCCTCCTGAGTAGCTGGGATTACAGGTGCAAGCCACCCTGCCAGGCTAATTTTTCTATTTTTAATAGAGACTGGATTTTACCATGTTGGTCAGGCTGGTCTCAAAATCCTGACCTCAGGTGATCTGCCTGTCTCGCCCTCCTAAAGTGCTGGGATTACTGGCATGAGCCACCACACTGGGCCTGTTTTGTCTTGTTTTTCATAATGAATGGGTGTTGGGTTTTGTAAATACTTTTTCTGTGTCAATTGATATGATTTATGATTTTATTCTTTAGTTTACTGACATGGTAAATTACATTAGCTGATTTTCAAATGTTGAACCAGCCCTGCATACATAGAACAAATCCCATTTTGTCTTGGTGTACATTATTTAATTTGGATTGCTAATATTTTGTTGAAGATTTTTGTCTAAGTTCACAAGATATATTTGTATGTAGGTTATGTATATATTGTCCTTGTCTGATTTTGGTATTGGGTAATACTGGCCTCATAAAGTTAGTTGGAAACTGCTCTTTCCTATTCTGCGTTTTAGAGGAAATTGCATTTGTTGATGTTGTCTTTTTTAAATGTTTGGTAACATTTTCCATTAAAACCACCTGTGACTAGAGATTTCATTTTTGAGAGCTTTAAATTATGTAAGTAAATTATATTAATGAATGGATTTGTTGACATATAATTTAATTATGTGATTAGTTATATAAAATGTAGTTTTATATTTAATAGTTCTATATTCCCCGTATAGCTGTCTAGAGAATTTTTTTTTTTTAATTTACCAGAGGAAGGTGTCAGAGGGGACCATTCCCTATCCCTGTCCTCCTGTACCACTCTACTACCCCTTTTCCTTTCCATCCCTTGGGTGATTTCAAGCTTAGGGGTGCAAGCCTGCCTTGTGGGTGCCCCAGGTGTTTCCTCACAGAACAGACCATGGATGCTGAGGGTGAGATGGAGGTATGTCACTAGGGTCCTACATTAGAGAAGGGGGAGGGAAACCAGGTGGGGTGTCCCCAGAAGCCTTCCATCCCTTTGTGGTCACAGGGCTTGATAACGAACAGCAGGTGCCAATCTGGAGATAGGCACAGAGATGAAAAGTCCCAAATGAGGACCGCAGCCCCACCCCCCTATGCCGTTGATACTATCACTGTACTGTAACAGCAAAGGGAGGCAGGTGTTGGGTATTTGAAGGGAGCATAGCAGAGAGTGCAGACTGCACCTTGGGATGACATGCGAGGATGAGCTTTTTGGTTTTGTGGCTGCCCAAAGTCCTTATGAGCATGTTTAGCTCTATAGGCCTCTTTTATTCTCTACAAATCATAGACCCACTGTGTGCATCCTCTGGGCACACTGTGTCTGGGCACACTCTGGGCATACTTGTGTCTCAGACTGGCTCAGGGGCTGCATTCTTTCTGGGGTAGAGTCGCAGAGCTGGCTTGGTGTCCCACTTGAATGGGCTCTCTCCATAGCAGATGTGAGCCTGTACTTCCCACCTGGCAGCTATGCCCCATTTGGCCTTGTTGAGGGACATGAAAGGATGTGCTTTGGCATCTGAGGATGGCAGTAGCAGGAGAGGGTGGTGATGAGAATGTTGTAGTCTGCATGAGTTTTCCATAAATGGTTAAGAGGCTCATGTTTATGCAACTTGCTTGAGGCTGCATAGTAAGTGGCAGAGTCAAGGCCTGGATCCAGGTCAGTCTAACACAAGAGTCATAAATAATGTGACTCAGTTTTCTCATTTGTGCAATGGAGAAACTAATGGTCTTTACCTCCCAGTATGGTCATGAGGGTTCAATGAGACAATCATGTAACAATCCAGCACATGGCCTAGATAGAACATGGTAAGTACTCAATAAATATTAGTTATTATTTGTTGATAACGTCATTTATCAACAAAGTCAGAATTATAAGATGGTAGCAAAAATTGAGCATTAACATAAGTATGATAAAATTAGAGTTGTTTCTGGTTTGTAAACATGCGAGGCCTTTCTTTTTTTGGAGACAGAATCTCATTCTGTCGCTCAGGCTGGAGTGCAGTGGTGCAATCTCAGCTCACTGCCACCTCCGCAGGTGGGGCCTTTCATTAGACACTAATTTGAAGCTATGGCATTCCTCCACTACAAGCCTACCTGTCAGCCAGCCTATCTACCTTAATCCTAGATGAAGTGGCTGTTCTGCCTGCCCCTCAGAACCTCTCTGTACTCTCAACCAACATGAAGCATCTCTTGGTGTGGAGTCCAGTGATTGTGCCTGGAGAAACAGTGTACTATTCTGTCGAATACCAGGGGTGAGTTTTTTTTTTTTGTTTTTTTAATAGTTCTTCTTCCTTAGGCAGAAGTTGGTTCCTGAAGGCATAGCCCTTCCTTCTGAGCCCAAGGTGGCTTTTTGAGCCCAGGGATAGATTATCCCCAATGATCTACCTGCTCTGCCTGCATAGGTATTGAAGGAGTTGAAGAAGCAAGGGAAATTGTTCCGTGGATTTGACAGTGAACTTTCTGGGAAGACAAATGTGCATAACACATTTTGGTGAAGCTCTTTTAAAAAGTGAGTCAGTTGTCCAGTGGGTTTGACTCTGACTTGAGATGGATAAATCACTGGAGACTCAGATCCTCTAAGGGTGGAGAAGTCCTTACTTTCCCTGACTTCATAAGCTTATCCCTAGGAGCCAAAACAAACTATGACCCTAAAAATCAGCTGGCCCTGGGACCAAGCAGGTTCTAGTCTTCTGCAGGTGTCCACGTGTTTGCAGCTATTGCTGGGCCAAAAGTACTTAACATTTTGGAGAAATGACCAATGTGGCAAGAATATCACGGTTAGGAGCAGAGTGAGCGGGAAGGCCAAAGCATCTTGCAGGCTGCTGGCAAGAGTTTGGAACCCATTCTAAGTCCTGTAGGAAGCCATTCAGGAGAAAAGTGTTGTGATCTGCTGACTGATGAATGGTTTCGAGAATGGCAGGTGTGCAAGCTGGGAGACCACAGCAAGGCAAGGAATGACAGTGGCTGAGATTAGGGTAATGACCCTGGAGATGAAGAAACCAAAGAGATCTAGACACACTGATGTTTATGCCTAGTTTTCCCTACCTGGCAATAAAAGGAATAAGGGAGAATGGATGGTTGGTAGGGAGGAGAGCGGAGGAGCTAGGATAATGAGCAAGTACTTATTTTACTTACCTCTAAAAAGTAGGAGAATGAAGGCAGTTACTTGCAACCGTAACTGAGTCTGTGTCAGAGGGACTGGTGTAACTCTGTGCCTTCCTCTCCTTGACAGGGAATACGAGAGCCTGTACATGAGCCACATCTGGATCCCTAGCAGCTGGTGCTCACTCACTGAAGATCCTGAGTGTGATGTCACTGATGACATCACGGCCACTGTGCCATACAACCTTCGTGTCAGGGCCACACTGGGCTCACAGACCTCAACCTGGAGCATCCTGAAGCATCCTTTTAATAGAAATTCAAGTGAGGCATTTCTCTGCTTACACCCCATCCCCACCAGCCACCCCTTTAGGAACCATGTTCATCTAGACTGTGTAGACTCTTTTTAGTATCAAAATAGTCTTGCAAAGTCACAGTATTGTGAACACAAACAACCTTACTGGTACATTTGAAAAGTTGCCAACTGCTTCCCACATGTTGCTCTCTCTCATGCCCTTTGACTTTGGACGTCATTCCTGACTGTCTCTGTCAGGATATGCAGGTGTTGGGGATGCTGACTTTGGGAACCTGGAAGGAAAGCTGCTCTGGAAGTGAGGAGATGGCACTAGGACTGCTACTCCCTACCCTGATTGTGTCTCCATAAATCTTACACTGCCTCCCACTTGATGCCTTATTAACTGCATATTTACTGACCTTGTAAGCAGCTTTGTTGTGCAAGAGGATTTATACATTTAACAGAGCCACCAGAACATTGCCCTTCTATAATGACTTCTGTGGGAAATAAATAACTTTTCTTTTGTAGTGGTACCTGGAAAAGGATTGAGAAAGAAGTAATAGAGGAATCCAGATAGGTGGCCAAATATGGCTATGTGCAAGCAATGGCCATTGTGTAAAAGGACGTGTTTGTTTGGGGAAGAGAGGCAAGGGCTGATGGGCAGTGGGAAGGGAAGCAGCTGATCTCAGACTCCTGAGCACAAGTGATTCTCTTTCCTCAGCCTCATGAAGTGCTGGGATTATAGGAATGAGCCATTGTGCCCGGCCATCACAAAGTTAACAGCTAAAGGCTTGGAAGTAGACGAGACTATCTAGGGACAAGATATTGAGGACAAAGAGAGGACAAGGTCCTGGAAAACCTCAGGCTTTAAAATGTGGATGGAGGGCTGGCAGTCGTTGTTGTAAAGCAGACATGGGTCATATAAAGATAAAGGAGTGCCTACAAAACTGTGTGGGCTGGGATGTTCTATAACAGCTTGTGCTTAACAAGGCCAGTATAAACAGAAAAAGATCTTGCTGCAGGGGGAGCTGAGGAACAGCAGTCTGTACTTGCATCAGAAGACGGAAGATAGAGTTCTATGTGATCCCTCTGTGAGCCAAGCAAATGGGTTGGAATGGCATGATGATCTCTTAAGGGCATTAAGTTTGTTCTCTTCCATTTGAAAAGGCCACTCAGACTTCTCCCCAGGAATGTGAAAAATCTTGATTTAAGGATCTTGATCCTGAAAAGGATCCCTACTCTCTTTTTTCTTTCTTTTTTTTTTTTTTTTTTGAGATGCAGTTTCACTCTTGTTGCCCAGGCTGGAGTGTAATGGCATGATCGTAGCTCACTGCAACCTCTACCTCCTGGGTTCAAGTGATTCTCCTGCCTCGGCCTCCCAAGTAGCAGGGATTACAGGAATGTGCCCCTATGCTCAGCTAATTTTGTATTTGTAGTAGAGACAGGGTTTCACCATGTTGGTTAGGCTGGTCTCAAACTCCTGACCTCAGGTGATCTGCCCACCTTGGCCTCCCAAAGTGCTGGGATTGAAGGTGTGAACCACTATGCCCAGCTGAGGATCCCTACTCTTAAAGGTAAACTTTATTGAGAACAGAGGTTTTTAACTTTGACTGCACATTTGAGTCACAGGGGAGCTTTAGAATCACTTATGCCTGGGGCCCTTCCCCAGAGTCTGGTTTAAATGATCTGCATGCATTTTGTTCACTGGAAGTTTAAAATTCTCCCCAGATTATTTTCATGTACAGCTAGGGTTGAGATCCCCTAGTAAAGAGGCAAAATACCCCATACAGGGGAAGCAGAAATGTAGAAAGAAGTGGCCTCAAATTCTGCAGATTATGTGATTCTGGGCATGTCACTTAATCTCTTGTAAAACAGGAACAATGTTTACCTTCTAACACTTCCTGGGCAGATTAAATGAGATAAATATGCAGAATGCATAGGACAGAGGTTCCTGCCCCAACACTGTCAAACAAGTCTCCTCTGAACCTTAACTTCAGATTATTTTCTCTAATTCTGTTCTCAATGAAGATGGAGGTCAGAAGACCCAATTCAAATCACATTTGACAGAAAAGTCGAGGAGTCAGATATCTCTTTTCCTTCTGAAAGTGTTTTGGAGGTAGTGCTAGTGGTGCTGTGTGCACATATGAAGCCTCTAGACTGAGTGTGTTTTGCACAGTTGGCCCTGAACTCCCAGGTCCTCCTGTCCCCTATCCAGGCAGCTTTCCAACAACCAGGCATATACACTTCTCTGATGAGGGAAGTGAGGAGGAAATGCTTTGTTCTCTGAAAACTCCCTCCAGGAACTGCCTTTCTTCTGAGTGTCCACTGACCCCAGGGGAGGCAGATTTAGCCCAGAACATACCCTACCCTGCTTCCCCATCCAAGACGAATGATCAGGGTGGTCTTTCTGGTCCTGCAGTATCTGGATCTGAGAGGCAAGTTTTACTCCACTGCCAGTCACCAGGGAGTAGAGACTATCTGTGTGGGCCCTTCTGTTATTGGTCTGCTGATAGGAAGGTATCCACAGGGGCTGTGGGCCTCTCTGCTTGACCTCGCAATATGAAAAGTGATGTTTGTGTTAATCTGTAATTTCTAGAGTTGATTATTGGAATTTGTAAAAAGCCTGTGGGCTGGGCTCATTGGCTCACTCCTATAATCTCAGCACTTTGGGAGCTCGAGACAGGGGAACTGCTTGAGCCCAGGAATTGAAGACCAGCCTGGGCAATGTGGTGAAACCCCATCTCTACAAAAAAAAAAAAAAAGCTGCATGTGGGGTGATGTGTGCTTGTAGTCCCAGCTACTTGGGAGGCTAACGGGGATGATTACCCAAGCCTGGGAGTTCGAGGCTACAGTAAGCCATGGTAGTGCCACTGCACACTCCAGCCTGGGTGACAGAGTGAGACCCTGTCTAAAAAATAAAAATAAAAAGCTGGTGACTTGCCAGCATCCCTTAATCAGGATATGAGATGAAAAATAGAATTGGGCTGAGAATAGAATGGCCAACCCATTCACAGGCTGCTGATCTGCTGATATGTCAAACTTATCAGTAGCCAATACATGCCACAGATCTATGTGAGTTGTGGGAATGCATGTGCCCCTGCCAGGAGTGCTCATTCCTAAGGGGCAAAGACTGGGCCTGACTGTTCAGTATAGACCTGAGCTCACATATATTTGGCAAGCATTAAAAAATAGCATCTGCTCACTTAGATGAGCCAAAATGAGGAGCAATTTCTGCTGAAAAAGTGGTGGGAGGAGGGGCATGGATCATAAAATTTTAAAAGAGCAGGAGATAATGTTTACTGGAGTTTTTAATCACTTTTCTTGTGTATATGTGCCTACTGGAGAAGGAACAGTGGACTTCATTATAGTTAAAGGATTAAAAAGGAAGAGAATTATAGTATTTATCATTTGTTTTTTCATTCATTCATCACTCAAAAAGCATTTACTGAGCACCTGCTGAGTAGAGGAAAGTATTTCTGTACATGTTTCCATGTGCTTGAAGCTACAGCTGACTCCCTCCCTTCCCTACAGAGACTGACATATTTCCACCGATGACATGGTCACTGTGTTCCAGGGAAATCAGTCTTGTCTGGGACTGGCTTTGACTCTCCTGTTATCTTGCCAACAGCCATCCTTACCCCACCTGGGATGGAGATCACCAAGGATGGCTTCCACCTGGTTATTAAGTTGGAGGACCTGGGACCCCAGTTTGAGTTCCTTGTGGCCTACTGGAGGAGGGAGCCTGGTGCAGAGGTGAGATCCTAGCCTTGGCCTTTGGGTCAGGCTTCTGTGAAGAAAGCACAGATCTCTGAGGGTGAGCAAGGGAAGCTGGCCCTTGCAGTGCTCACTGTCTGGGCGGCCTGGGGATGAGCCGTCCTGGGTGAAGTGTGCAAAAGATTAGAGTATGCTGACCACCCCATCAGCCTCTTCTCCAAAGAACTGCCTTGGTCCATTCCATGCCTTGGCTGGGAACCCTTCCAGGCCAGATCTGCTGAAGTGTGGGGCTGCCCCCTGACCCTAAACTCTACCCTAGGTGGACCCACAATACCTTTTCAATGAATTTTTTTCTCCCTCCTCAGCTCATCTCCTCAGCCATATAGGGGCAGCAGTCAGGGTTTCTAGATCAACAGGATGATTTCAAAAGCACACAAGGCTGGTACAAACCTCCTGAGGGTGTATGTCTTGGCAAGGTGCAGAGGTAGAGGCAGGAGCCAGGAGCTGCTTATGAGTAAACCCATCTAACTATGAGCAGGTGAGCCCAGGTGCAGAATGCCCAGGTGGTTGCTGCCGTCTTCTTTGGAAGGGTGCTACAGCCTGGGATAGGTGGGAGGCCAGCCTTCACAGAGAGAATAACCAGACAAGCAGTGGCAGTACAAGGAGTGGAACATGAGCAGGAATTAGGGGACACTCTGACCTGTGGAGCCTCTGTCCAAGCTGATATGGTGACAAAGCTTAGAGGCCCACGCCAGGTAGCACAAGCAAAGATAGGCTTTATCACAAGGATTAATACAGTGCAATAAGGGGCTCTCACAGATCTATGAATGGAGCTGGCACAGGGCCAGGCTGCAGCCTCGCTTAGCCATGGCCCTTGCTCCTCTCTGGTTGGTGCCCCTCTTGCACATTTTCTGTGGCCCCTTCCCAGCTTATTCCAGGCTGTGATGCCTCATTAATGCTTCCTACTCATGCCTATGATGTGCCCCTGAGCCCCCTCAAAGCCTCTCAGGCCTGACTCCTCCTCACTGGGCCCTCTCTCCTTTGTCCCTGCTTCTCGCTCTCGGTATTCAGTTTCCCAAGACCAAATCCTCAGAAGAATCCAGTTGGTCTTGCTTGTCTTATCAGGCCAAGCTTCAGGGGTTTCTGGTAACCAGCTCACCCCTGATTGGACCCTTCTCAGGCCAAGGGTACCCTTGATCTTATAGCAGTGTCTGGACTCAGAGCACGTGCCCCACCACCCATTCAATGAGGGCTGTAGGTTGGGTAGCTTCCATGAAAGGTGGTGTGGACAGGTATAACACTGGGTTCCAGTATTTACCCCTGCTAGGAAAGGCCCCACTGTAGGATATGAGATCGCCAGCCAGGAAGATGGAATAGTGCTGGGGATAGGTCAGGGCCTGAGCAGGAGGAAGCATGTGGCTCCCTCAGATTCACTGGGATGGAGCCCGCTCCCCACCCTTGGTAACCAGCGGGGCTGGGGCTAAGAAAGGAGCATGTACCCTGAGTCATCTGGGCTTGGTCCAGGCAAGCCTCCACAGGCTCAGATGTAGAGCACAGCTTCAGGGAGGGGCATGGAGGTGGAAGTGTGAACAGATGGATGGACAGATGGGTGGATGAGTGAGAAGGTACTGCCCATGGCTCCACCGCACTGATTCCCTGGCAGCAATGGCCATGCCAAGCCCCTGCTCAAGTCAGATTTTCAACCTTCAGGTCTCTGTGTAAATGTTATCCTATCAGACAAGGCTTCTCTAACCACTCTGTTTAAAATGGTGCCTCCTCGTCACTTTGCTTTGCTTTTCCTTCACAGCCGTTATCACCACCTGAAGTGTATTTTTTTTTATTGTCTCTCTCATCCCATGTAAGCTCTGTGAGAGCGAAGACTTTGTCCATTTTGTTCAGTGCTAGGTCCCTGTGCCTAGAGCAGTGCCTAGCACATAGTAGGTGCTTAATAAATATGATTGAATGAATGAGTGCCTGAATGAATACATGCATAAGTGAGAGGGGACATTTGTGTGCATCCAGAAAGGAAGTATCTGCAACTTTCCTTCCCTGGCACTTTTTGCCCTTTCCAGTCCTGCTGCCTTCTGGGAATAACTGTGTTTTCTTTTCTTTTTCTCTCTCTCTCTTTTTTTTTTTTTTTGAGACAGAGTCTTGCTTTATTGCCCAAGCTGGAGTGCAGTGGCGTGATCTTGGCTCACTGCAACTTCTGCCTCCTGGGTTCAAGCGATTCTCCTGCCTCAGCCTTCTGAGTAGCTGGGATTACAGGCACCCACCACCACGCCCAGCTAATTTTGTATATTTAGTAGAGACAGGGTTTCACCATGTTGTCCAGACTAGTCTTGAACTCCTGATCTCAGATGATCTGCCCACCTTGGCCTCCCAAAGTGTTGGGATTACAGGTGTGAGCCACAGCACCCTGTGTTTTCTGTGTTTAACTGTGTTTTCTGGTCTCCTAAAGGAATGTGTCAAAATGGTGAGGAGTGGGGGTATTCCAGTGCACCTGGAAACCATGGAGCCATGGGCTGCATACTGTGTGAAGGCTCAGACATTTGTGAAGGCCATTGGGAGGTACAGCACCTTCAGCCAGACAGAATGTGTGGAGGTGCAAGGTAAGGATGGCTTCTCTCTCCCTGGAGTCCTGCACAGGTCTATAGCCCCTCCTGGCATATCTCAGAGGCCTGCTGGGTTCCTTTGGTTCACTGACCTGCCTCACAGGCTGGGTAGGTTCCTGTGGTAAAAGTATGCCTGTCACTCTGATTCCCCTAGAGGCAGGAGTCCACCCTGGGCCTGGGTGGGGTTACTCAAGCAGCTGTCTGAAACACTTTCCCCCTTAAAGCTTCGTAGGCCTGGGGGCCAGATGTTGCAAGACTGGTTTACCAGATGGTTACTACCTGTGAATCAGAGCCTGCTGCAGGAGAGGCAGCCACAGGCTTCAGAGGGTCAGACCTTGGACCCTCTGAAGACTGTGGCCCACATTGTATAACACCACAGCTTTTTACATTGGGAAGGAACCTTAGGGAAAGTCTAGAGAATCCTCTTGTTTGAATTACATTTTTCTCTTGAATATTTTAAAGTCAGAAAACCTACAGTATTTAAAAACACTTTGAAAAGAAGCGAAACCAAACAAGACCTTACATCCCATGCTCTGTCACTCAAACATCACTAGTTACGTTTTTGTGTATAGATTTTTGGTCTTTAAAAAAGAGCTATTATCTTTTTAAAAAGACTAATTATTATCTTAAATATGTAGTATACTTATTTATTTATTGATCTTTCTAAAACAATTTATTTTATATGTACAGACAGGGTCTTGCTGCATTGCCTGGGCCATGGCCTCCCAAAGGACTGAGATTATAGGTGTGAACCACCACACACGGCTCATTCAGCTATAGTTCTGTAACATACACATTTTGTGCCTGCTTTTTCACAAATATCATATCTATAACATGTGTCATGTAGATTTCTTGATTACTATTTTACACTACTTTTTAAAATCGTACAAGTCAAGCTTGCTTGACATTCCAAACAACAGCAAAACATGTAAAGTAAAAAGTAGGACCAGGCATGGTGGCTCACACCTATAATCCCAGCACTTCGGGAGGCCAAGGCAGAAGGATTGCTTGAGCCCAGGAGTTCAACACCAGCTTGGGCAACATAGCGAGACCTTGTCTCATGTTAATAAAAAAATAAATAAAGAGATAAGTAAGTGTGCTCCATTCTCCTGCACACCACTCAGGAGGTTTCCTTTGGTGAGTTTGACGTTTAATCTTCCAGGGGTTATCTGTGTAATACCAATGTTCACATATACAGATGGGATGATATTGTACCTACTACTCTATACTTGGCTGTCTTCACTCAGTAGTATATTGGGAACATCTTTTCATGGCAATACGTATGGATCTACCTCATTTTTAAAGGGCTGGGTGTGGTGGCTCATGCCTCTAATCCCAGCACTTAGGGAGGCCTAGGCAGGTGGATCACCTAAGGTCAGGAGTTTGAGACCAGCCTGACTAATGTGGTGAAACCCTGTCTCTACTAAAAATACAAAAATTAGCCAGGCATGGTGGTGCATGCCTGTAATCCCAGCTACTGGGAAGCTGAGGCATGAAAATCGCTTGAACCAAGGAGGCAGAAGTGGCAGTGAGCCAAGATTGTGCCACTGCACTCCAGTCTGGATGACAGAGTGAGATTGTGTCTCAAAAACAAACAAACAAACCCAAAATACACAAACAAAACCCAAAGCATATGTATATGTCAATGTATGTAAATGAAAGGCTGTTGCTCTAGTTCAGATGTTGCTAAGAACTGATGTATATAATTGTTTCCTTCCTTGGAATTAGTTTTTGGAATTAAAATTTCAGGAGTTGGGGAGAAGTCGGGATATGGGCACAAAAAAACAGAAAGAATGAATAAGACCTACTCTTTGATAGCACAATAGGGTTGACTACAGTCAACAATAACCTAATTGTATATTTTAAAATAACTTAAAGAGTGTAATTGAATTGTTTGTAACCTAAAAGATAAATGGTTGAGGGGATGGCTGCCCTATTCTCCATGATGTGTTTATTTCACATTGCATGACTGTCTCAAAACATCTCATGTACCCTATAACTATATACGCCTACTATATACCTTCAAAAATTAAAAAAAAAAATGCAGGAGTGGATGAAAGGGTATGAACATTTGTGTATCTCTTGATGTATACCCCCCAAATATTTTCCAAAACCATTGAAATAATATACAGTGCCCCTAGCCACAAGTCAACCAGCTATTCCAGTCTCATTGGCTGGGCTACCCTTCACATTGCAGGTGAGTAGCCTGGGCCAGAGAGGCTAATTGAGTTGCTCAAGGTTACACAGAACAGAGAGATGGGAAAATAACCTGTCCCCTCTTCCACATCTCCAGATGCTCAGATCTAACCTTTTCTGCTACATTTATTGGTAGAATGACTGTGAGCTTCAGAGCCAGTCCTACTTGGGTGACCTGGGGTAGGTCACTTAACCATTCTGAGCATAGATTCCTCTTCTATAAAAGCAGGGATACTCACACTCATTGTAAAGAACAAGCAACTACATGTCCAGTTCCTAGCATAGTTCTGGAAGACCATAGTAATCCTAGCACACAAAATGGGGGCTTCATATCTTGTAGTTATTATCTGACTGTTTTTTGAACCATTTCCTCTATAACATGAATCAATGCCAAGAGTGAATTGTGAAACACACTTTGTTTTGAGTTACCGCCCAGCCCCATTCTGCGCTGTTCTCTTTCAGTACCTCCCCCTCATCCTGTCCAGGGCCTGGCACTCTGCCTTCCTCCTGGCAGTGGCGCCAAGGTATGTGCTAACATAGCTGTTGGCTTCACACATGATGCTCCCCCCTTTCATGTCACAAGAAAAAGATTTTAATCTTCCCTGGGGCTTTCTGGAAGCCAGGCCTTAATCTGGATTCTAGAAAAATGCTTTTAATGGTGGTAATTTTGGTCACTAAAGCACACATCAAATCTCAGGATCTTGGTATCTGCCGTCTTGGTCAATGTGCAGAGTCAACTCCAGGAAACTGGGGAGGCTCAGGATTGAAGATTTAATCTTCACTGATGTTTTCTAAGCCTGTTTTTATCTTTTGTTTCCAGGAGAGGCCATTCCTCTGGCACTGGCCCTGTTTGCCTTTGTTGGCTTCATGCTGATCCTTGTGGTCGTGCCACTGTTCATCTGGAAAATGGGCCGGCTGCTCCAGTACTCCTGTTGCCCCGTGGTGGTCCTCCCAGACACCTTGGTAATAGACCTAGTTCTTTATTTCTTTCAGTATGACACTGACCAGATGTAGTTTGGGCCTCAGTTGGGCATGGGCACATATTTCCATGGTGGGATTATAGGCATCTCCACAGAGGGGGGAGAGGAATACTTGTAAAAGACTTCACTTCTAACTAGAGGTACTGGAATAAATCTCCTTTCTCCAGAGCATGGTGGCCTCCCTGAAGCAGGCCACCTCTGCTTTCTCCCAGGACCTGGGATGGCAAAGAGAGAAGATGTGTTACCCAGCCAGGATGCTCAGTATTGCAGGAGTCCTGCACGGTCTTACCCTTCCAGACTGGCCTGCTGAGCATCTTGGCCTCTTCCAATTGTAACAGCAGCTACACCCAATGACCTGTTCCAACACAACTTACTCAATTCACATGCCAAAGCCTCATTGTTCAGAGTGAAGAAGATGTATGTGGGAGGCATGGACTGTGCTTTGATCTTGGTGGGGTAGGGTGGGGTGGTGAAGGGACAGCAATCTGGACCTTCGTAGTGACTGCCTGAGGTTAGGGAACCTTACCCGTATTCTCAGATCCTCATAAGGCCAGAATTCTTATCTTACTCCTGAGGGTCCTGGACCACAGATCTGGGTCTCTGCAGTGGGTATAGGACCCATCCATACACCCATGCTGTGGTGGGGGAAACGCAAAAGCAGGCCTCCAACAGCTGCCCCATGTTCTCTGGCTGCCTCCCCAGATGTTTCCCCCCAGCCCCCAGACCTCAACCACACAAAGCCATGAAACAAAACAAAACAAAAACAACAAAAACAAAATCAAAAAGCTCCATCCCTGTCACCCTAGGGAATTCTCACAGTTCTCTCCTGGGAGGAGGGAGCCAGTGTCAGCTTCTGGAAAGCAACTAAAGCCAGAACTGCCTGCAGCTTATACATGCCCATAGCTCCTTATTAGCCTGGAGTCACTCTGAAAGGAGTCATTCTTGGCTGGGTGCTGTGGCTCATGCCTGTAATCCTAGCGTTTTGGGAGGCTGAGGTGGGTGGATCATGAGGTCAGGAGTTCAAGACCAGCCTGGCCAAGATGGTGATACCCCATCTGTACTAAAAATACAAAAAATTAGCCAGGTGTGGTGGCGAATGCCTGTAATCCCAGCTACTCAGGAGACTGAGTCAGGAGAATCACTTGAACCTGGGAGGCAGAGGTGGCATTGAGCCGAGATCGTGCCATTGCACTCCAGCCTGGGCAAAGGCAATAAGAGCGAAACTCCATCTCAAAAAAAAAAAAAAAAAAAAGGAGCCATTCTTGTGACATCTCTGTGGCCCTGCTTTCTCTCCCTACACAGGAGGAATAACTCTCCCTATAATTCAGTCTTTAGGACACCCCTCCACTCTGTTATCCTAATGCCAGATTTCCCTTCTCTGCTGTACTTCCAGGTAGCCATAACGACTTTAGCTGATACTAGTACAGGGCTAAGTGCCAGATACTGTTCTAAGGCTTTGTATTTATTGACTCATTTCTTGTCATAAAATAGCAGTGTCCTTTTGATCAGTTCCCCCCTCCATCCTTCTCTGAATGACTGAATGGCTTACTGTTCTGCATAAAGGCAATGGGATGTATCAAACACAGGGGAGCAGGGTGGGCCTTTATTATCCTTCAGCAAGAACTTGAGGGCCTCGAAGTCCCTTGAAGCATAAAAGGATATGTATTCTGAGTTATTGGGGAAGTGTCTTATAAATATCAATTAGGTCAAATGTTTCATGGTATTGTTCAGGTCATCTTTGTCATTATTTTTTTGTATAGTTGTTTAATATTGAGAGGAGGATATCAAAGTGCCACTATGAGTGCTGGTGTGTCTGTTTCTCTCTGTCTCTCTCTCTCTCTTTTTTTTCTGAGATAGAGTTTCACTGTTGTCACCAGGCTGGAGTACAGTGGCACAATCTCAGCTCACTGCAACCTCCACCTCCCTGGTTCAAGCAATTCTCCTGCCTCAGCCTCCTGAGTAACTGGGATTACCGGTGCCTGCCACCATGCCCGGCTAACTTTTGTATTTTTAATAGAGTTGGGGGTTTCACCATGTTGTCCAGGCTGGTCTCAAACTCCTGACCTCAGGTGATCTGCCCACCTTGGCCTCCCAAAGTGCTGGCATTACAGACGTGAGCCACCGTACCTGGCCTGTTTCTCTCTTTATGTCAAATTTTCCTTACGTATTTTGAGGCTCTGTTTTAAGCATATTCACATTTTGACATTTAAATGTATTCATATCTTGTTATGATTTCTCAAGTAATGGAGTCTTTTATCATTATGATATGTTTTTCCTTATCTCTGATAATATTCCTTAGTGTGATATCAGCAT